CCCTGGAGATATTCAAGGTGAAGCTCGACGAGGCCCTGGGCAACCTGGTCTAGTTGGGGATGTCCCTGCTGACTGTGGGGACATCGGACTAGATGACCTTTGGAGGTCCCTTCTGGCCTGAACGATTCTATGAGCTTCCCCAGTGAATGCCCTCTCGATCCTGAGATGGGAATAAAAATGCTTACAGGAAGGTCATGTGCAGGGGGAAGCACCAAAATGAGCAGAGGGGGCTGGATGGGACAGTGCCAGAAGTTCAGATAATTTGTGGGGCAGTAATGATAGGCTTCTGAGGCCATGAAAAAAAAAAAAGAAAAAAACCAAAACCAACATTGCTCTTGCTTCATCAGAGGACAGACATCAGTAGAGCCACTGAAAGGATGCAGCCTGTGTTTTGTGCCATGTCAGGCACTTTGGGAATTTCTGGGGAAAACACCCTAAAACCTTAGCACAAGTCCTGCAGGAGGTGGAGAGTCAGGGAGATGCCATTGTTCAGAAGTTACCTTCTCTTCGTCTTCTAGAGGCACTCTATGGAACTTGAAATGATTGTAGACAGTATTTAATAGGGCTGCCCAAGTATAAATGTAATAAACCAAATGATTCTTCCATCAGTTATTCCTTTTTGAGCTCTCTTCCCAAGATACTGCTCCGTGCACAGGGGGATATCTGTAATAATTACCCTTGAGTACCCAGTGGAATAAGTGGTAATTACACTGTCTAAACATAGAAATAGATCTTTGTGCTGTCGGTTCCACAACTGACAGGAAGTATTACTCTAAATTTCTAAGGGCTTTTGAGTTTTCATATTTCTCTAGCACTGCAAGATTGAAGATACACACAGGGTGGTACAGACTTTCTTGCTCTGCAGCTTATATGAACTACCTGTCTCATTACTTGTGTAAGAAACAGTTGCTGTACCCTTGGGTTCCTTTCCTCAGCTGCAGAGTAGGGACAGCAGATGTTCTGCAAAATGAAATCCTTCATGATTATGGGATTGCTCAGAGGGCCATAATACCTACCCACCCCCAAGAGAATGAGTCAGCCAAGCAAAATAGAATACTGTTCCTATTTCCTATCAGCGCAAATGGAAATCATAACGCTGTTAGTAAAACATGCCACCGAATGGAGGCAAAGAACCAGATGCAAAACTGGCAGAAGCAGCTTATACCTGTGTTGCAATGGTCTGGGAGATCATATAGAGTACCAAGGAGAAAGGTTATTTCTATTGGACAAAGGCCCACCTTCACCACCTGGTATTTTTGCCAAGTTAGAGGGTCTCAGACACTATGAAAATGTTGAAAAAGCTAAAAGGCAAACAGAGATCTTGGAGACAAGTACATGCAGTTTGTACCACTATCCTAGAAGGCCTGCTCAATATGAGTTCACAATATTCTACTTCTTCACAGTTATGTACTAATTTTCACACTTAATTACAGAAAAATAATTTATCTCATTAGACCAGCTGAATTAAAGATTCTAGATTTCTTTTCCATGCCGTGGACTAAGGCACCAAATATAAACCCTCTGTCTACAGTCAGTCTCTAAATATAGCCAAGAATTAAGATATTCCTGCTTCTGCATCTTAAATAATCTAATGGAATCAATTACGGGTTTGCGTAGATGACATCTGGTATTTGCAAATACAGCATGAAACATGAAATCCAACCAAAATAAGCATGAAACTAAAGTTTCCACCCATCCTACTTCATCCTCAGTAAACACATTATTGTTTTGCATCACAGGGTGGATTTTTCATATTTCTTACAGACTTCCACTTAGAAACTTTGCAAGAGAATGTAACACTTGCGAAAGGAAAGGGCTGATGATAACTTTGACTTCAGCCAGCGGCTAAGCCAGATGAGTGAACACCGTTCATGTGTTCACTGAGAACCCTGTCTCATTGCTTGGATTTTCAGCCTTGCCCTTTTATTGATCAGCATGCCAGGCACACCGAGCTCAGTAACAGTTCTCATTGTCAGGTACAGCAAGGTTCAGAGCGAGCACCAACATCAGCTCTGGAAAAGGCAGAATCTGAAATGGATTAAATACAACTCTGCCAGTGAGATCTTTGCCCGTTATAACTGGAAGCTAAGGATATTCCCACTACACAGTATCCATGTTATCTATGCATTTCAAAATATAGCCCCTTGCAGCACTCTTTTAGCGTCATAATTAACACTTTAGCCTCAAGTAGCCAAATGTATTCTATTAGGATCAGAATGCAAACTGACTATCCCCAGTGTAAGTATGCAGGGGCTTGAGGAGTATGTGGGGTTGTTTTTTTTTGTTTTGTTTTTTTCCTCAAATACAGCCTAAATAGATACATGTAACTGTACCTGCAATCAAAGACTGCCCTCTTCCTCCTCCAAATGATGCATGGTCAGGAACAGGGTGAGCCATGCCTTTCCCCATATTCCAGAAGAGAGTCAGACAATAGTGAAGCAAGCAGTCCCACCCTAAATACTGGCTTGTGTGCCTCCTGGAGATGCCATGTGCTGTGTGTTGGGAATCACAGTCGCAGATTTTACCTTTCTGCAGCTGAGCAACTCCCATCCATTTCACCATTGGTTCCTACCAATGTGAGCAGAGACTGAAGTGGTCCCCACGCTCCCCTGGGCTGCCTGATGTTTGTGCTACACTGGTCTTTTCTCCCCACCCCGCTCTGGCCCTACTGCTCACATCTTCCCAAGGTGAATGAGACTGGGACTTGAACCAAATTAAAACGAGTATTATTTTTTTTTTCTTTCCCATCTGGATTAATTTTATAGCATGCCCACTCTTTTACCCAATTCACCAAGTACCTGCACAAATGCTGGTGCCAGCAGAGAGAAAGGGACAACTCAGGGGGGGAATGAGTGGCTGGGAGCTGTGCAGGAGAAGAAGGAGGGACATTTATTTCAGTGGCACAGCATCTCGTGCTGTGTTAAAGTTATTGTGAAACTACAGCAAAGTCACCAACTGTCATCAGCACATCTGAATGGATAACCTTCATCTTGCCCCCTTGTATTTATAGGGCAACAGATCTAGCCATAGTACATTTTTTATATATAGCTAAAGTTGTGTCTGAAATGCATAACTTTAGGTACACAGGTGGAATGCATGGGATGTTTTCATTACAAGATTACAGCCCTCTAAATACCTAAGTACGGGTAATTTCACCAGTTTCTGAAATTAATAAATTCTGTGATTTTGTACAAAAGTTTCTAGAATCTTTACCTATCTTACAAGAAACAAACATCCCCTGTGAAAATATCTGCCTTTAATTTCTTTAACAGTAGCCATTGCACTTGCTGAAGCAAGTACCATTCATAGCACGACACAGCTATCTATGAAATAATCTAACTGCACAGTCAGCAGAAGTTCAGCAGTGTAATTTGGAGAAAGTGACTCCGTGCTGTCACTCACTCTCTGAGCTACACATTATTCTGCAACACTTTCCCTTCCCTTCCTATCTATGATAAAAATATGAGTGTGTTTTCAATTACGTCAAAGTATCCTTTCTTAACAACATATGTTTATATTTCATTAAAAAGGTGGGTTTTCAATATGTCATTTTAATCTTCAAGAGTTCAGTAACTATAACACAAGAAGAAATATCAATAGCACAAGCAGGTGCCCTCACCACAGATTGTTAAATGTTTTTTCATTGTTTACTTTGACCAAACACTTCAGAAATTATTTGATTCTATTCAGTGACAGAGTACATGGAATAGTTAGCTATGCAAGAAGCCACCAAACTCCAGTTTTGCCGCACAAGTTTGAGTTCTGAAGTTTATTATCCTTGCTACATGTTGTTGTGTGTAAACTGTCTATAAGGACACTAATAGAAAAAGAACTTAAGGAGTTTTAGCAACCATGAAATGCAAACTCTCACAGCTGTTGCTTGAGTGCATGTAGATGGAGAAGCACATCTTTTGGTTGTCAGTGCATGAGGTATCCAGGTGGCAAATCATCCAGAGCCTGAGCCTGCCTTTCCCCAGCGCTCCTGGCTGCCAGAGGATGCCCTGGGGATGTGGAGCACAGTGCACCCTGCTCACACCAGGTCACCTTCTACCAGCTTCTCTTTTAAACTGGGCTCCTCCCCGCAGCAATCAGTTTGTACTTTTTCAAAGGCAAAAGTACTAAATTTATTCTAATTAGGCTTGTAATAGCCATTACTCTGGGAAACGTACAGTTGTTGTACAAAGAAGATGTGAACCATTAGAAGGATCCTGCCATATAAACCTTCCTAAATGACATAACTTAGCAATAACTGTTTTAACTTCTTTTGAAAACTAAGTAATGCATGGAATATTACTTCCAGCTGCATATTGCAAGTCACTGGAAAGAAAAATATCTTGGCCTAATAAAACCTAGGAAAGACTGGCAGTGAGCAGAAGAAAATCTTCTGCAACCAGAAAAGAGTCTCCAAGTTGGAAAAGTATTTTGGAAATACATATTTATTATTCCTTTTATTTACAGAAAATAACTCTCAAGTAGCAAACCTCCTCGTTCCGACACTTAGAATAACCTTGGCTCTTAACAAACAGCTATTAGTGGCTCTGATATCACTGGTAGCAATTTCATTGGCCCAGCATTGAAGTCAAAAAGTAGAGAAGATACGTTTCCAGCTCATGTTTAAAGTGAATAACCATCCCGCTGTATTTTTAGCACAATGGAAAGAGCTGTGATAGTCATATGGTAAAGGGACAACTCAGTCTCCAGCAAGTGCTACGCAAGCTGTGGAGCTTGCCGTTCAGAAGGGTAATAAACAGCCCATTTAATCTGGCCAAAGCGATAAGAATAGACGTGATTCAAGCGTGTCACTAAAACGCGGCCTTCTGGAAACTGCTTTTAAGACAATAGAACTATTGGTTGGCCAGCACAGTTCATGGCCACATGCTTTCGTTGCCACGAGCTGCGAGAACCAGTAGAATCTGAGATTGTTGTAGAAATGTGAATGTGCTTTATGACGGTCTGTAGTAATTCTGTACATCTCTTATGTCTGTGTTCTTATAGCCACTTGGGCACTGAAGTAGCTGAAATGAGAAAGAGGCAGCAGTCACAAAATGAAGGAACATCAGCTGTGTCTCAAGCACCTGGAAACCAAAGGCCCAACAACACATGTTGCTTTTGTTGGTGCTGTTGCTGCAGCTGTTCATGGTATGTCCTGTAGTATGTTTGGTTTCATATCCACCACAGGTAAATGATGAGAATGGAAAGTGCTGAGCACTGGGAATGCGCAGGCTTCTGGGAGAGGATTGCTGCCAAGAGGCACAATTTAACATTTCACTTAAAAATTTTGATAAAACAATTCCCTGATTTGGCTGGACATCTTGTGAGGGGGAAGAGGAGAGAATAGTAAATTCAAGCTATATTTACCCTACTTGAAAACCAAAACTAAAAGAGGAAAATTCAGTTGTAAAACTAGTATGTGTGAATGAGAGACTTGATACTGAACAGTTTATATTTTGCATTCAAAACATTTTTTCTGCTTGTACATTTGGTGCTGCAATTCTCTGTATTCAGGAGGGAAAAAGGGAGATGCTCATAAATGTGAATATATGGTGACCTGTTTTACTACTTAGCTGTTGAATAATATATATTCTGTAAATCTGAAAACATAAGCCTTAAATTCCACATCATCTTTTAACGGGTGTCGCATAATTTTAGTGGAAGAAAGGCTCGAAAATTGTGGCTGATTGCCTCTTCCTAAAAAAAAGTACACTTGGAATGTTCACTTGGAAAGAATTAACGCCACTTTCAAAAACAGCTTTAAATTCTCAGTGTCTTGAGGTGCATTAGGTCTGTCTTCCTTATTTTCATGAACACAGTTAGTGTTAAAACATAAAGTAATTGATATGCAGTACTGTTTGGAGCCTGTGCATCCTGTTATACACACAGTTCAGTCTTTTTGGAGTGACCATTCCTCTGTGTATCTGTGTTAATTTCACTTGAATCAGCCATCTGGCCCCAATCTAAAATCTGAGACTATTTGCCCCCCGTATATTTAAAAATACATAACAGCATGAATGCCTCAGGCACCAAATGTGACAGCTTTTTCCAAGATCCTGGAGGCAGTACCAGGGTGGACCTGCCTTGACTGTTATTTCCAATTTCACCTGGAGGCAGAGGATATTTGGAGCAAAGATGAGTGAGAGCCCGTGCTTTTACAAAGATACTTTGCCGTGTGTTCGATCCGTGCAGCAAAGAGCTGCAAGTGTATGAAATGGGAAGAAAAAGGAGGATATTTTGCCACTGTTACCTCTGCTTTGTGAGAAGGGCACAATGTAAGATTAACTGTATTGTTACAGACCAAAGGTTCATTTAGCTCAGTATCCTATTTCAGGAAGTGACCTGTAGCGGATGCCACAAGGAAAGGATAAAACAAGTGGACATGCACTTACTTAACCTGCCCACAGCAAAACTTCTCACAGATTTCTGACAATCTGCAACTTAGAGACTTTCTGGCCCAGAAGTTATTTCTGTGTGTTTTATAGCCCTTGATGGAACTTGCTTCCATTAATTTGTCAAAGCATTTCTGAAGTGACTTCCTGAACTCATCTAAACTTTTGGCATCCAGAGTTTCCCATAGCAATAAATTCTACAACAGACCTGTGCACTTTGTGAACCGTTACTCCCTTTTATTTGTTTTAACCTACTAGATGTTAAGTTCATTTGATGCCTCCTTGTTCTTATGATTGTGAAGAACAGTGAATAATTGTTCAGGTTGATCAAGTTTTTATAGAGCTCTCCCATATCCCCCTTCAGATGTCTTTTCTTCCATATTCTATTTTAACATCTGTGATAGAGTAACTGACCCAGACCATGGTTTATCCTTATCTCTCTTCTATCTATTGCCCTACTTTGTGTCTCTCCATGTACCTTTCTTATTGTACTATCTCCTGTCGGAGATATGTGGCTAGATCTGTTGCAGAGGTTAAGAGATGGGTGTGTTATGTTTTGTGTTTGCTCTTTGTTTTTTATTATTAATTCCTAGCACTCTGCTTGCTTTTTAACAATCTTTGAGATTATGTTTTTATAGAATTATCCACCATGACTACAACATCTCTTTACTGAATGGAAATAAAGCCTGTCATAGTGCACGTACAGCTAAGGTTGGCTTTTGTCTTGCATATTGGAACATGAATGGCCATAAAAATACCAATCTAATTTCTAAAACTTAAAGACAACTGATTTTATTTTTTAAGCATGCTGTAGCTCAAGAAGTCTTATTTGACAGCTATACTCTATTTTGAAGCTTTCATGAGATTTGTGACCCTTGGAGTGTCTCTACACCTTAGAATGCAATACCATTATATATTTGAAGAATTTATGCATATTAAATCTAAACTAGAGCAAATATTGCTTTAAAATGTAGGATGTCCCTTCAGCTGCTTTACTAATTGTTTTTGCTGTTAATATCCTATCTTTGGAGTGTTGAGTGTTTTTCTTCTGGTAAAGTAGATTAGACTGAGCACGGAGGAATCCTGTAAATTTAAGTTAGTTTCCCAGATTAAGTCAAAGAATGGGTCAAAGGGCACAATGACATCACTTGTACCTTTTAAAATCAAAAAGGTAGAACAGATGATGTAGTAAGTCTTTTCCAGCTCTGTTTTCTGTGATTCTGTATTGGAAGCTCCATTAGAGGAGGGATGAGACAAAACTTTGAAAAAGGCAATATGAAATGCTTCAGAATCCCAGTTGAAATGAAGTAGTTGGTTCTGGTACCAAATTTTTTTTGTAAATTTGAACTTTCCAGGTAGAGTACAGATTACTGTTCTTGCCTCAGTTGTGTACCCTAAAACTACAAAAATAATTTAAAAAAAATATGTAACCACCTTTACGAGTCACTCATTAGTGGCATTCTAGGTAGGTAATTCTCATGGGTACTTCTCTGTAATAGGAAAGCTGCCTAATCAATAACTGTAACAGGTTCTCTGGACCTAATGTAATTGCATGCTTTCCCGAGTTCCACAGGTCTTTGTATTTGAGTAACGTGAGTTTCTCAAGTGATACCTGTCTGGAAATGTTGCTGGGTTCATTAATGATGACAACAGTGCTTCAACTGGCAATATCAAGATTAGGAGACATTTCTTCTGTTTTTCCACCAGCCTGTGTGACTGAGAACAGCTCCTATATCACTAACCTCTTAGTGCCTCCACTTCCTCACCATTCAAAGAAAGGGGGGCAGGTGTTTAGTAAGAAGCTTTCACCTGTATCTGTTTGAAGCGTTAGTTCAGTAGTTCATATAGCCAAACAAATAATTAGAATTCTAAAAATATCTTTTGTGAATCATGTGGTGTTTGTTCTCTTCTGTTCTGCCCTATGTTAAAATCAGAATAGGCATTAGGTCTTGTGTTTGCATAACAGCATAGGCAAATATTCACACCTTTGTTTAGGGAAATAGTACCTTGCCTAATAGAGACTCATTAACAGCAAAATGTTAGATTCAAAAATTATTCAATATGACTTATAAGAAACTTTTTTTTTCTCTAATAATTCCTTCTTAAAGGTAACAAATATTTGGAGCCCTTCTCCATTTCTGTGCATTAACCCTGACAAGGAGCTCAGCCCCACGCAGCCACTCACTCACTCCTGCCCAGTGGGATGGGGAAAGAGAATCGGAAAGGTGAAAGTGAGAAAACTCCTGGGTTGAGATAAGGACAGTTTAATAGATAAAGCAAAGCTGTGTGCACAAGAAAAGCAAAATACGGAATTCATTCACTGCTTCCCATCGGAAGGCAGGTGTTTAGTCATTTCCAGGAAAGCAGAGCTCCATCATGTGGAGCAGTTACTTGGAAAGAGACTGTACAACTCTGAACCTTTCCCTCTCCTCCTTCTTCCCCAGTTTTTATTGCTGACCATGATGTCATACAGTGTGGAATATCTCTTTGGTCAGTTGGGGTGAGCTGTTCCAACTGTGCCCCCTCCCAACTTCTTGTGCATCCCCATCCTGCTCACTGACAAGGCAGTATAAAAACCAGAGAAATCCTTGACACTGTGCAAGCACTGTTCAGCAACAGCTAAAACACTGATGTGTTATCAACACTGTTTTGGTCCCAAATCCAAAATACAGCACCATATGGGCTGCAACAAAGAAAATTAACTCCATCCCAGCCAGACCTGGTACATCTATTGGCAATGATAATTGTCAAGTTTACAAAGACAAAGCAGGGCTGATTACCAAGGTTTGCTCAGATTTGAAAAGGTAAAGATAAACAGACTCATTAAGTTGGCCATTTTATTGTAACAGGTATCGTTACCATGTTGCCCAACTAGCTTAAGCCATGAACTGGTGACTGAGCATCAACAGTGAAGGAAGCAGTCGTCCCAGTGGAGAAAATAAAGTACTTCTGAAGTCCCCAACAGTAAAAGCTTGTCCATTTTCCACAGAGGCAGATCTGCAGCAGATCCCTCTGGAGATCTTTAATAGGACCTTCCTCTCTCCACTGACCAGACACAGACCTTGGGCACCTACTTCAGGAAGACCTCCTCTCTGAAGCATCTAATAGATTAGTACCAGTCAGGTACTGAAGGTGCTGGACTGAATCTCGCCCTGTGCCTTAAACCTCCACAAAACACTATTCCCATAGAGGACAGAAGAAAAGGCTTCCTTACCAGGTGTAATTTCAATGACTTGGGTAGCCTGGGAGTTGCAAAATTTGCAGTAACATGACAGTCTATAATTTCCTCAATTACACTATCCCAGAGAACTGCACATTTAGTATTTAATGGTACGGCTCTACAGTTTTGAGCTCAGCCTGGCGAGGTAAGGGTAGAAGCCTGCTATTTCACCTCCCCGACCTTATTTAGCAATCCATTACTCCAGCTTCCTGAGCAGAGATGAAGCCAGTCATTTTCTTGCAAATACTTGTAAATCACATTCTTCCAAAAAACTCTCAAGACACTAGCACAGGGAGGTTGGCTATTCTGCCAATTTTATTGTGCTTCTTCTTTTGTCTCCCACCCAGAGCAGGAGTGATATCTTTTTCGCCTCTCTTTCTTTCATAAGGTGCTTAGAGAATTTTAAAGCTGTGGGACACCGATACCTGATAATCCCTCTCCTTTTACCACACATAGAAAGCTCAGAAGGCATCTAACATCTGCCCTGCAAGAGACCTTGGCATTATGGGAGTCTGGGGGACATGAAAAGGCTTCCT